TCTGTGTGCTCAAAAACAATTTGTATAAGCACTCAAGCAGCCATGGCCGAATTGCCGACACGTGAACTCCTAACGAATTCAGGACATCCAACTGCAAAGTGTGTGCGTGGGGCGGGCTTCACACTGTTGCATATTTTACTAACTTTCCTCTCCCTTGTAAATCCCTTTAGGTAACTGGTCACGTTGTAAAGGTGTTTAACATGCACTGAAACGCGCTTGCGTTTGCCAATTTTGAGTTCTCAGCAGCAAAACTGTTTCAATCACCACTTTCCGTTCGAAGTTTTTCGTTCACTTACACTGCACTTCATTAATGTGTATCATCAACCAACTGAATTTACCCCAAATCGCCCTGTTTATTCCCATTTATATGAGTGATAGACAGAGTATCGTGTGAGTAATGGAGGAATTGATTCAATTTCAAATGACTGAATTCGTGTATAGAGCAAATAAAGCATGAACTGAATTTGAAACAGGTTGTGAATGTTTCCAACCGAGTCATAACCCCGGAGGATGGTACTGAGATGAGCGAAGTCTGTGGCTCGCAAAGATGGGTTATGCTATATTGTGTAATGTGGAAGATGAAGAACGGTCTGATCAGCTGCTCGGTGGCCGAGTGGGTAGCATGCTTGCGTTCTGCCCATGAAGTTCCGAGTTCGATCCCCAGTTGGGTCAATGGATTCGCACTGCTGATGAGACCCAACCAGGTCGAAGCAGTTGTCCAGTTCCTCCTGTCTTTCAGCTGCCCATTTGGATGAGAAGAGCAGAGTGCGGATTGGAATGTTGAGAGACAAGTTAAAGCGGAAGACAGAGGATTCATATAGACTGGGGCTGTGAGATTAATGAGCAGATGCATGAACACCACTGTTTGCGATACCCAGTCATATCAACCACTGTCGCTAACCACCAGTTACCATGATCTTGGGGTTCCCATCCAGGGACCTATGTGACCGAAACATCTGGTCAGGGTTTTCAATGGCAGTACTTATGGAGATTGAGTCAGTCGAGACGGATGTCAATCCGCTTGTATGTAGCACATGATGTTTTCTAAAACTAATCCGATTATTTCAAAATTATGAATTCCAAACGCCTCGGTTCGCATACGTGTTAGCGCATCCGCTAAGAATCGATCCGTACGCGAAGTGTAGATTTTTCTTAAAGAGAAATATACCTCTAGAATATAAATCAATGTAACGAACAAAACCTTTTTTCACTAATTCGTCTCTGCCTGTCAGAATCTGAATCAAACTCATAGAGGATACCGGAAATTCCCCTGAGATGGAGCGAACCGAGTCACTCCTTATTGTGAACGTCCTGGCCACTTATCACAAATGGTTTCCCTAACTGTTACGCAACGACCTCCGATGTTGCATTTGAAGCAGCGGCTGCTCTCAACCCAAGACTAGGTGAAACCTACTACACTGTGAAAAGGAATGAAGCATGGGGCACGGATTGGACTCAAGGTCAATTGTCCGTTTAGGTCTGTTTCGGCGTTCTATTCACATACTTGTTTATTTTTAGGCGACTATCACCTATATGAGAATGTTATTTCCTCAAATTTTAATTTCTCACGTCTGAGCTCAGACCGTTTCCAACAAATCAGGGTGTAACCATCCTAATAAAAAGAAAAAGTCCATGATTTGTCCGAGTACACGATAGTGCTAGGTTGAACAGGTCAACGCTGGTGAATTTTCTTAGGGATTTCACAACAAGCGCTTTCGGCTAGCCAAACCCCGAACAGCAAGGCAGCTGGGCGATGTAAAACAAAGGTTAGCAATCAACTGGGGGCCGGTGTGCAGTTCGTCCGAACATACGCTCTTTGGACAAGATCAAACGTCCAAGGTGCTCAATAATCCTCAATGAACAATTGAACCGATGACCACTGCGACAATCAAGAAGTTGTGGG